GTAAACTAATATTTGGAATCTAAGTCGAATAGATTAAGATATAACCTTTACTAGGGACTCAATTCGGTAGAATTAGCTACTAGTTTACATTAAGACTGAAAACTTTAACATAAAGAGAGTGTTTGTATATTGTGGTTGTACATTGGATATTTCTTTCTACCACCCATTTGGAAGTTTGAGACTCCATGAAATTTGGATGAGAAATACAACGAACAAATCAACAAATCTAACAAACACGTTAATCTCGTCTAAGAGGGTATCTCCTCATAGTCCTCATGGGAATACCACTTGGTCAAATTGCCACAATATAAGGTGGTGTTATCAAGATAGCATCGCTTACAATATTCTCCTTTAGCATACCTTTGCCCCAACTCCATAAAAGGCATATTTTTCGTTACTTCATTTGAAACTTCTAATCATTTGGTATCACCGTAAAAAGTTTATTAAAAATCAAGAAAAAAACATGAAAATAAAATTAAAAAGTACAAAATTGTAAACTTAAAGCAGATTTTTTTAAGAGGATATTATAACAAAATTTTATGAAAACTTAATTGCATTGCATTGATGTCAAAAACAAAAAGGACGTAAAACAATTAAAACAGATTTTCATAATGGGACTTCAAATATGTTTACACTTTACATGAAAATATAATATCATTATTTTGATCCATATTTATATTATTACATATGTAATATTATTTTCAATAGTACTAGTAGTAGAAAAATCCATCACTAAAATATTCTGAAATCTATAAATATATAATGGAAAACCAGATACAGATAATATAAAAAAAATATATATAATATAGAAAATATAAAAGAAGAGTCTTCTGCAGTCTGTCCACGGACTGTAGAAGACCTGTGGGACCAGGGACTGGCCCCACTGATCAAGGGGTTGTGGTGTTTGCAGTCCATCCTGCATGGACTGCAAAACACCATTCTGAAAATATAAAAAGTATGTAAAAGAAGATATAATATATATGAGTTCTAAAAAGATGACTGCATTTTGTGCAAACTTCTTGACAGAAAACATCTTTTTAGTCTCTAATGATTGTGAAAAAAAGTCAATGCTAAATTTTTTGAAAAACCAAAGCAAAAATGAATTTCCATTGGTTTTCTTTTCTGAAGTAGAAACAGAAGAAACGAACTGTTTGAAATATAACATGCAGGAAAACCCTCAAAACAACTGCTTGAAATGAAAAACAAAATGAAAGGCAGAAAAAACTCAAAAACCAAGGTGATACCAAATAAATATTAAGTTTCAAATCAGATTTGAAAAATATACCTGTTATGTAGTTAAAGGTAGACTTGCCAAGGAAAATACTGCAATCCCCGCCATTGTCAACAACCAAAACCTCAACATTGTGGTTACATGAGAAGTAGACATCCCAAGATAACTAGCAAGGAAATGATCTCTTTAGCAGAGACTACATGTTGCTAAATCTGTAGATTGGTCCATTGCATTTCAGCAACCAAACCTCATAAAGTCTCCTCTTCCTAAATATGTGATAGGCTAGAATACCATGTACCCTTCCACTATCTACAAACATCTTTCTTACGGCAAAGTTCTCAATCTACAACGTAAAGACCAGTAGATTATTCTACAAACTTGCCATCCCTTGAGTGGTTATATCATCTCTTAAACTTAGATTATTCAATGTTACTTACGCCATGTAGTGACGTTACTCAATATATCATTTGAATGTAAGAATGTTACCCCTTGAGTCATTATATCATTTCTCAAACTTAAAATTAGTTATACCATGCAGTGACATTACTTATAATGCATGTTATGTGTTATGTGTGTGTTGTGAGTTGTGAAGTGATGAGTTTATAAAATTAACTAAAAACAAAATTCCAATCCACAGATTAAATTACACAACTCATGATAAAACAATATAAAAGAACAACTTAATTGGGATGGGCTGGGGTGAGCAGAAGAAATCTTGATGCTTTGGGTCAAAAGACTTATTTTGCTCCATATACTTCATCTCTCCATAAGCCACGTGAAACACATGAATAAACCAAATCAATGAAACTTGTTAGTAATTAATCAAATTAAAGGCAACAGATTGACTAATTCATAATCCATAAAAAGAAAATAATTAATTAACATTAAGAAAACAGAGGAAAGTTAAAAGAACTAAATATATTCCCCTCCCAATTATCTATTATATAAAAAAAAAACACCATAAATGTATTCACTACAACTTCAAACAAATTGAATACATTTTCAATGATTAAATAAATATTCAAAAGGATCAAACAAAGCAGTGAAGTGAAACCATCAGAAACCAAACAAAATGGAATGCATGAGATTATATAAATTCATCCTTTTAAATATTCAATGGAAAGCAGGAAACTATCATCACAGAACAGAATTAACGCTATAATC